TGCAAAACAATGTTTCTCTCAATGTTCAACCTGTATTTTTCATATGGATGGCATCCATATATATAGTAAAGTGGTTTTGGATAGTATGGGTCAGATAAAAGCCTTGAAAAATGTGAATTAGGTTTTTTTCGAAAAATACTATTACTTGAGCAAGAGCTCAGCAACGATGTCTGGCTCCAGTGAAGTCCAAGCGACAGGCGAGCGGCGCAAGTTCTGTTTTTACCGCTCGAGCAATAGTTGGGCGATAGGCTAGCAAAATTGTGGCGACGTTTACTCCTTTGTTCCATACTCAAACCCTAGAATTTCTAACTTTCTACTTGACCTTTTGACTTTTAAAAACTCTTTTACGGTAATAGTTTTGTCAAAAGATTGCCAACAATTTCAAAAACCTAACAAACTCCTCCTTTGACATTTTGTGACAAAACACTTATTACAAATCAAATAGATTTAATCTAATATACCCAAAACCAACTGACAAGCTTTCCTTTCTTTTGTTCAAATCCATTTCCTGAAATAGAAAACTCAAATACTAAATGTAAAAGCACGTGATACAGGAAATATAGCAATATGGTCACATGATCATAAATATACATGCTAGAATGAGAATTAATACTAATGTCAATTAAAACACCAATCGAAACATTAATATTACAAAAAATAAAAAACTCAAACAACTATGCATTATGATATGGAACGCGGTGAAACTAATCTCACCCTTACTGCAAACTCTAATCAATTAGTCATTTAGCTCTCCCTTATATGCAGTTCATTTGTTAATTATAAATAATATCCACACTCCTTTTTTTGTCACAAATGACGAAGGGATCAATATAAATTTTTTTTAACATTAATATACAATAACTCAAAATATGCAATTGATAGCATGTACATGCATAATCAATGATCAGTAAACCTTCCTACATACATAGTTAACATGGAATAAATTATATAAGTGATCAATGTGTGTAAAGTGTCACTAATCCTTTATAAGCAGGACTCCAAACCTTAATTTTGTGAGAAAAGATATTCTAAACATCACTGCCAATAAGTGTATTCCTCTACTTATGAAAGTCAAACCATTTAAAGCATATTAGGACTTTTAAACAAAAAGTTCATTTATAGATAAATTATTATATTCTCCTTCTGACTTTGAGCATATTTTATTTTTCATATTTTTCAAAAACTTTAAGCTCGTCATATATTTTTTACATCTTAAGTACAAGTCCTTCTCCATTAAGCGACTAAGATGACACATGTAGCGAGTTTTAGGCCTGTTAACCCAAGTAAGTTGACCATAGACACTAGGTTATGAGAAACCTCGCAGACTTAATTGTTCAAGTCAAATAAGCTCCGAAAAAACCATAAAATATTGAGCTTTTTTTATTACCAAGGATAAACTTGAGTTTAGAGCTAATAAATAAGGTCAATTAATGTTCAAAGTCACCTTACTAACATATGAATGTCATCCCAAATCTCACACACGCGGTAGAGTCTCACTAACAATATCATAGTGTTGCAGTGCAGATGGTACATGAAGACACATATACTAAGTACTTCATAATAATTTAAGCAAGCAATGAAAACTATATTGCAGCTCAACAATTAGATTCATACAGTCATACTTGATCACAGTAACAAATTCAAGTATTATATATCATGCAGTAAAACAATTCTCCCTTTTTTTTAATTTTCGAAAAAAAATCAAACAACTTTAAAAAAAATGAGATGCGTGCTATAAATGAAACACAGTGTTAAAATACAAGCATGCTCCAAAATTACCTAATCAGTTCAATATACAAATACTCTTACCTTTAAGAGCTCCACGATCAATTTCAAAAATTTTCAAGTCACTCTTTTTCACCTAAACCTGTCTAGGGAAAGACTTATTTTGAGTCCACTGTATCATTAACTTGGTCAAATGACTCACTTGATTACTGAGGAAATAAATTTGACTATCAAAATCTTGATTTCTAGCTCTAGTGAAATTCTGATTTTTATTTCTATTCAGGAATTTATGACACCTAGGCCTTATATGTTATAACTCACCATAATTAAAATAAGTAAGAATAAACCTATGTCCAAAGTTTATAACTCACCATAATTAAAATAAGTAAGAATAAACCTAGGTCCAAAGTTATGTGGTCGTTGATATCTATTTCTAGGTTGGTAAGTCTTACATTGTCTAATAGGTTTCTGTTCTACGATACTCTTGTTCTTAAGTTCAGGAATAGGAACACATGTAGACTGGCTGGTAGCAGGGATAAAAATATTTTTGGAAGTACTAGCCATATTATGATTGGTCTGATTATATTCTAGACCTTGCATATTCCCAGTTAGTTTGTTCAATCTCAAAAGACTGTCCAATGTTTTAGATCCACTAGAGAAAGCACGAAGTTGAGACTTGGAATCTTCAAGTTCACTCAAAAGGTTCTTAACCTGAATTTCTAATTTATCATTTTTAACGGTCAACTTACTCAGATTTTTGGTAGAATCATGAAGGCTAGCTATGAGTTTCTCTATCTCTATCTCAAGTTTATTAACCTTCTTGAATACAGCTTTATTGGCCTTCTTTATCTTAAGACTCTCTTTAAATAAATTTTGATACGCATCACCAATCTCTTCCTCAAGCAAACGATTTATATGTCAAGGTTTGAGCACAAAGAAAGTTACATATTCACAATTTAAAATAAAAATACAATATGAACTACTCATTCTTGCCATCGTTAAAATATCAAATTTTATTTAGACTTGGAGGGCTCCACCTTGTTACCATAATTAATTTATTATAGTGCGTGGTTAGCCTTCAATTAAAAAAAAAAGGACCTTTAATCTCTAAGTCCAAATACATGGTGCCACAATTGAAGGCTAATCGGGACAAAATTTAAACTTGATTATAGCAATAATATATATGCAAATAAAAATAATAAAAGTTCTCTTTAACAAATACAAAACATGCAAATTTATGTCAATGTGAAAGACAAAAGAATTTTGAATAAAACACATAATCATTAACTTATATTCATAGATGAGGCACTCAAAATAAGTACACCACTTTTTCCTTTTTCTCTTTCCAATGAACATGTAAGAAAAATAATATAATATTTTAAAAAGTAGATTTCACTTCAATTTCAAAAATCAACCATATCTTTTTGTGCAAGTAGTGGTGACTCGGCTCGGCCCACAAGCTCGTAACCTTACAAGCCGAGTCGAGCCCACGAGTTTTTTTTTAACTTATTAAATTTTAATTTATTTTTTGCTTTTTCTTCACTTTTTTACGAGGCTCGTGGACTCGTGAACTTTAGGCTCGTGTGCATGCCCACGAGCCGAGTCTTTCTAGGCTCGCCGGGCGAACCTCCGACTAGACTCTGGCTCGGGCTCGGGCTCGGGCTCGTGCTCGTCCCGAAATGAGCTCTAGCCTTCCATGGGCGGAGCTTTGACGAGTCGAGCCGATGAACTACTCAGCATTTTTGCCACCGCTAGTTACAGGTACAATTAGAGGTGTCAAGACGGACGGACCAACCAGGCTAGTGAAAATCGGCCCGGATTGATCCGGGATCGCGGGCCGACCCGTGACCCGAGCGGACGGTTCACGGGTCAAGGATGTGTGACTTGCGGGCTTCGCGGGTTGCACCTTCACGGGACGCGGTTAACTCGCTAGCCAGTGAAAAAAAAATTAAAAAATTTTGAAAAAAATAGGTGCCAATTTACTTGGGATGTATTTATGCAATAAATATTTCATAATAATAATTAAAAATACATTTAGTTGTTATTGTTGAAGGATTTTATCTTAGAGTCATGTAGTGTCTAAAGAACTCGTACAAAGAAGAGATCGCGACTCTCTTAGGCCAACCTTTCTAACTCTCTTCTCAGTTTTGTGTTATTTTACTTTGTTATTATAGTTGAGATTTTGTCGCACAAATCACTTATTTCTAACACTACTTACGCATGAGACATATTGCGATAGCTTTTCACTTTGTTGGACCAAGCTTCTAAGAACCATCGTCGTGTAACTCATGTTCACACTGCAAATCGATCAACTTGCTGACTCACTTACAAAGTCTCTTTCTCGGAAACAAATTGCTCATCATCTTTCCAAGATTAGTGTCATCGATGGAAGTTCAATTTGTAAGGGCATAAAAGAACATTTTTTTAGGATTATTCACTGTAGTTACATTCTATAATTAGTTGATTATCTCAAGGGATAAAATTCCACATCAAATAAAGATGAAAACATAAATCAACTTATAAGGTTTGTGTTACTCATCTTAATAAACTTGACTTTTTAAGATTAAACTCTAAGTCTTAACAGATTCTAGGAATTATTCACCGTAATTACTTTTTGTAATTAGATTTCCATTAATAGAGCTCGTTTTTCAACCTTCACAGAATTGTTACACTCTACTACTCAAACCTTTTAACAGATCTCGTGAGAGAGTGAAGTCCTTGTATGGAAGTGTTGATCAAGTTATCACTTCATTAATTGATGCCTCGAGAAGTTTAAATCTATGAAAAAATGTTTCTTACCATAAAATATTTATTGGTCATGATGAAAAATTAAATTTGCGAAGTTTTGTTAATGAATTCTCTGTTTACAAGTGTTTCTAGTCGGAACACAATAGCAAAGACACGCGAATATATATGATATTTTAGAATAAAATGTCGAACTTTATTCAATCATGGTAGAAATTTTAGATAATAAATAACAAACTTTATAGTCCGTGCACAAATCGATAAGTACACAATTTATAGCCTCATGAGACCAATTCCCTTTAACAGGAAAGTCTGGTTACAAAAACAAAATATCCTTTAAAGGACAAATTTTCTATCATATCGATAATTGTACATATCATAAACATCGACTTATAATGCATCAATTGCTACCATTAAATCAGATTTTCTTGAATCTATTAAAAATTTGAATATCAGACTGTTGTACGGAAGTGTTCCATATCTCATTTAACCTATATCTTCATGTATTTTAGACATTTGTTTAAAAGAATTTACCATAGTCCTCCAACTAATTCTGCATAAAGAAGATGATTCCATGTATCAGGAACGCCGGCTACACACCAATGCGTGCAATCCATGCCTTTGAAGCCATTATACATGCTCGGGTGTCCATCTTTTCTCAGTTGTGAAAGAGTTGTAATATCAAGCAAATACACTGGTTTTTTAATGCTACTCAGAACTTCTTTCAAAACTTTTGATGCCAATGGTAGGCCACTTGGATATGTTGATCCATTCAAGGGTGTCGTTTCTTTGGCGCAATTTTTTACACCATCCTCGTCCCACTCCATCCCACTAATTGAACATCATCAGAATACAATGTTATATTTTTTCCGACGATTAGTAAATTGATTATAATTTTATGGCATTCACTGTCCAGACCTATACGTAAATCACAGCTGTTCTTATGGGTGGAATTATAATTAGATTAAGATTTAGAGCTGAGCAGTTGGACATGGACTTTTGGGTTCGCTAAATCTATTTTAAACAAATATTGTAAAAAGAAAAACGAACTGAATTTAGTCCAATTTTCTCTCTAATGTAGGGAGTAATGGAAGGGCAGGAACAAGATAACAGCAATCGAATTTCGAGTTTGCATGGTGGGGAAGGCTACAACATAAAGGGTGGTGGGGTAAGGAAAGTAAAAGAGATTTTTCTCTTTTCTGTGACAGCATAGTTGTCCCTTTAAATTAAAATATCCAATCATGTGCGAATCGGGTGGTGGTCGAAACTCTAAAGACGATCTGGGACAGAATTGCCTATGAGGACCCACTTACTACAAACCGACACTTAGAGACTTAAGTGAACCATGTTAAGACATGAGGTTCCCCTTTAAAATGTCAACTTATTAATATAGTAATCCAATCTCTTATAAGTTGGTCTATATTTTTTAATCAATGCGGTATTTATCCCTTAACATGTCCCGCAAGATCGTAGCTCATTTCAGCAAACAAATCTTGAAATCCATGTATTTTTTTTAATTTTAATCAGATCGAATTGCTGTTTTGAACTTTATGAACTCTAATATTATATTAAGATTTAAGGTTTAATCTTAAAATGTCAATTTTATTAAAATAGCATAGACTGTTAAAATATATGCAAGCAAGCTTCTGCAAGTGGCATATGCAGCTCACACGTTCAACATGCTTCTCTCCAGATTTGTTCCACACCAGCCTCCAGATCTGTTCCACACCAGCCTCTTCCACATCAGCTTCTTCTTCACGTGTTCCAGCTCTTCAATTCTAGATCCTTCTTCTGTTGTTATGCAGTTAGGTTGTTAGATAGTTTTTCTCCATAAATAGACTATATGCTTTGTAATTTCTCCAAGTTGAATGAATTAAATGTTCATCTTCTTCCCTGCCATTACAGCAGGCTCTATCCTTTTTGTTTCTATCTTTTATTTTCTGATTCGTTTCTTGCTAGTTTTAGTTTATGATCATTTCAACTGTGTTGTGATTTCGTTCCCTTTAATTTCTCAACATGGTATCAGAGCTTAAAAGCTCATTCCGTCTGCATTTTATTCTCTGTTTTCTTCTTCTTCAACAATCATATCTGGAATGAAGAAATTTGCTGGTTCCATTTCGTTTTTCCTTCATATTTCTGCAATCTGTACTGCTGATTTTATTTTTGTATATGTTATTGTTGGTTTGTTGTTGCTGTGACCTGCTGGTATCCAGAATGGCCGGACCATGGAGTTCCCAAGTTCTTCATTTATCGTCCACCACATGTTTGTTAAAATGCCAGAGGCATGGAGTTGCACTGGTGGTTTTTCTTCCAGTCATTGCTGAAATTTATTGAGCATTTCTAGTTCTTCTTTCATTCATCAATGGTGATGAAGTTTTTCTTCAACAAATTTTCAGCAAAGCCATGGTCACTCTTTCATTCCGGTTGAAGTATATTGCTGATTTTCTCTCTGGAGTGCTTCCCTGTTCGACCCCAGGCTTCTTCTCTTGCATCTCTGTTTTCAGGTTTCTACATCTCTTTTTATTCAGCCCAGTTTCAAAGCAATGGTGCTCACTAATTCCGGTTATTCTGAATCAAGAGCTTAATTCTCTCTATTGGAGCAGTGGCCATCTTGGAGACAGCAGCAGAAACTTCTCCCATGTCAATTACAAAGTTCAACAGATTAGCAGATTCCCTTCTCCATTCTTTTCTCCAATATTCAAGACGTTCCATCTTGATGGGGAGTGTTAAAATATATGCAATCAAGCTCTTACAAGTGGCATATGTAGCTCACACGTTCAACATGCTTCTCTCCAGATCTGTTCCACACCAGCCTGTTCCACATCAGCTTCTTATTCACGTGTTCCAACTCTTCAATTCTAGATCCTTCTTCTGTTGTTATGTAGTTAGGTTGTTAGATAGTTTTTTTCTATAAATAGACTATATGCTTTGTAATTTCTCCAAGTTGAATGAATTAAATGTTCATCTTCTCCCCTGCCATTACAGCATGCTCTATCCTTTTTGTTTCTATCTTTTATTTTCTGATTCGTTTCTTGCTAGTTTTAATTTATGATCATTTCAACTGTACTGTGATTTCGTTCCCTTTAATTTCTCAACATAGACCCTTATAAGTTGATCTATATTTCGGTATTTAACCGATATGGGATTTATCCCATAACAAACTATACATATAATGTAGAGGTAGTGTACAATAATTCCATCTACAAAATGTAAAAGTTGACAAAAGTAACAGACAGATTTAAATTTAAATAGGAACCAGAAATCTTACTTGTAATGGGATGGAGATATCCCTTGAAAGAAAACTTTGGTTTTATTTGGATTCACATTTGACTCGACCCACTTTCCCCAAGTCATTAGAGCTTTACGAAAAGCAACCATCCTGTCCATATCCTTTAGTATTTTCCCATTTTCTTCAATGTAATCCCACCTGCAAAGTTACAATAAATATTTCAAAATAAATTCATTTTCAGCTGAAATCACTCAAAATAATTCTTAAATATGCAAGTTTCTAAGTATACTTACGGTTGTTTAGGTCCTTTGCGATACCACCAAAGCCACGTGTTAAAGATTAAAACATCGGCTTGCATCCACATGACTCCATTTATAAGAGAATCGAGTTTCAATATTCGTCCATTTTTTTCCAATTTAATGTCTACTAAGTAATGCGACTGAAATAATATAACTGAAACTCCACAGTCCTGCAACATTCATTCTTGTTAGAGTTTTAATATCATTGGTATTTTTCTGTGTTCATTAGAGGGCAAGCAATTTCATTTCTTTCACTAAAAACGATTATAATTTGTGCCTTTCAATGCATGTACAAAATTTCTAAGTTGTCAATATAATTCAATACATGAATAACAAATCTTGAAATAACGAACGGCCCGGCCAGACCCGTCAAAATCGATCCGAATCGATCGGGACCGCGGGCCGACCCGTGACTCGAGCGGGCGGTTCACGGGTCAAATAGGTGTGACCCTCGGGCTTCGCGGGTTAGCACCTTAACGGGCCGCGATTAACCAGCGGCCCATGAAAAAAAAAATTTTAAATATGATTTCTATGTAAGAAAATTTAAAAATATGAATTCTATAAATATTTGATAATAGTAATTAGAAATGCATTTAGTTGTTATTTGTTTAAGTTAAATTTAACTTTGCAAAGTTATAGATAATTCATGTAACATTAAATTTGAATTCTATGTAAATATTTCTTGGTGTAAATATGAATTTATCATTTTGTTCAATTCTTAGTTTACATTTAACAAAAAAAATATTTTTTGCTATAAATATGAAAAATTCTATATTTTTATAATTTCATTTATACAATCATACGGGCCAAACAGGATCAAACCGCGACCCGTGACCCTCATGGGCTCGATCTGGATGGGTCAGCGGGCGGACCTGGATTATAGTCCAAAATTTGTGGACCAACTTGGAACCGGCCCGGAACCCGTAGCGGGCGGGCTTTTTTTTTCATGCGGGCCGTTACCAGGCTCATATATTGGCAGACCGACCCGGTTCGGACTACCCGAATTGACATCTCTAGGTACAATCATTGATCCAACTAGTGCTACAAGGAGAAATTTTCAAAATATTAAATACCTAACTTTTGCATAAATCCCTTTGAAACCATTACAGTTTAATGTTTTTGTACCATTTTCATCTTGGTTTGATCTTCGAATCTACTTCACCTTGTCTGTTCACCTACTTCCACCCATTTTTTTTTATCATATTCATTAGATTAATGCTATTGCGTTGTCACCTAGACTAGTATTAAAAACTCGGTGCTACATTGCATTGTAGAAGGCCATTCAATCCCAAGATGGACAACAAGTAAAATGTTAGACAAAAAGAGAATACTTCTCCGAACACCCTTCTAATAGATCTCCCTAAAATACCATCTTTGTCGTAGCATTTCTTTGTTATCTTCCTTCACAAACCCAGACCTAACTTTATTGTCGGAGATGAATCCACGGCCAACATCTCCTTTTGAAGTGGTTACATGATCCAGAGTTTGTTTATGACTTGTAGTTATTGAATAGAAAAAGAAAGAAAACGTCCAAACCACTAAACATATCACCTCCAACCCAATAAAATTTAAAATTGACCTATCAAAAATTCCAGACATCAACATTCTTGATTGACAAAAATTCTTTTAATTACCAGGGTCTACATCTAGGGTATATACAACTAGTGACACGATCCGCACTAAGTAACTAGAAGTCTGGACCACCATCAAGACTATTACAATATGTGACTTACTATGACTTATTTTTAAGCAAATTTCAGCGTTATTACCCCTATAATTTGGACAAACCAACCTATGATGAAATGCAATATAATCCAACACAATAATGACAACAAAACAATGCAGTAGAGACAAGCCGAACGTAAAACCTTTATTACAAAAACAACATAAACTATACATATGGGTACAAAATACATAGGAAACCCACTTAGCTATTACAAGTAATGAAAAATGATATCGAAAAATGAACATGTATTTCAAAAATAATGACTGCATGCTCTATGAAAGATTCATACAAACTAACTGTATTGTATGGATCCGACTCCAAAATCAAATGACGTTCTCAGAAGGTGGCCAAACACTCAACTACTACCTGATAAGAGAAATCGCGAAAAATATATGAGTTGATAAGTTCGGTGGGCGATGAATTTTGAAAATAATTATACTTTCTTATTTATATACATTTATCGAAATTGAGTTCATATCATTTAACGATTCACAGTATAACATTCTATAATAATAGTCAAAATGTGAGACATTCACTAGTGTGGAACTCTTGTACTATAAATATGATACCAAGACAATCAATAAAAATTTGGCCTTTTTCTTTCTCAAACACATCTATACTTTTATAATTAGAGCATTATAATTGAAGAAAAATAAGAAATTCTTAAGTATGCGCATTTTGGCTTTAGACTTGTAAACATAATTGGGTAAGAGATACCGAGAAGCTTTAACCAGTGAAGCTCCATGGGGTGCAGCCGATAGTCATTACAGCCAGTTCCGTTGTTCTTGAGTTCTGACAATGGCAGCTCTAGGCTGTTCAGATTTCCCAATTTCCTGCTTTTCATCTAATGGATAAACTTCCCAGCAACCATTCCTCCAGTACGTGTGATGTACTTCTGGAATATGTGCAATTTTCCGGTAATCTGAAGAGATTGGCACAATAAATTCATCTGGCATGTCGAAAAATTCAAGAACTTTTAGCTCAGAGAGATGCTCGATCCCTTCGGGCACACCCTCCAACGAGTTACATCTCTGAATGATAAGCTTCTCCAGATGAGGCATGGCTCCCTCCTCAATGATCACCTGCCTCAAGGTTTCTAATTTGTCAAGGCCTAGTAATTTCAGCTTCCGAAACTTTCCAGCCTTGAAACACAGTTTCTCCCCAACGTAGTTTGCGAGAAATTCAATATGGACTAGATTAGGCATATCTTGGAGATATTCAAGGGGATCTTCCCTAAGTTGACTCCATCTGAGGTATACTTTAACACGGCTCGGAAGAGATTGTATCCATTTCGGAAAGTTTGCCAAACGCCCTGTCAAATATAGCCGTTGAAGGGAAAGAGGAGGAGAAGACAGGTAACTAAGATCAAGGACATCTCCCTCTATTGATCTTAGACCTAATGAGCACAGCTTTTGGAGCTTCTCAACGCACAAACACAGAGCTACTCCATCTTCGGTTCTCAACTTTGTAATGCTAACTCTCCTGAGTTCACTCATCATGGATATCTCTTCAAGTGATACACTTCCTGAACATGCATCAACAATGCCAAGTTTTTGCAAGAATTTCAAGCTGCCCATTCCTTTGAATACTTTGAAACCATGTACATAATTGTAAGGTAGATATGGGCCTGGTACATGTCGATATGCTAAAAGTTGCCGAAGATATTGGAGTTTTAGAATCTCAATTGGTAACTCATTGATGTATGTCTCCTTAAGATCCAATATCTCTAACTTCTCGAGCTTCTTAATAGATCTTGGAATTTTGTTGATCATGGTGCCTCTCAAGCTTAGATACCTTAAATGGAACAGTTCAAGAACAACCTTTGGGAATTTCTCCAGAGGAACACCCCTCAAATCTAAAACCTTCAGCACTCTACAGCTTTTAAGCAACTGGAGAATGCTCAAAATGGATTGGGGATCTTCCACGTTAAAAGTCAGAAAGGAACAGAGTCCGGCACCATATCGGTTGACATCTGAATCTCTGAAGCTCCCATTGACTGATAGACGTCTAACTCTTCTCAGCCATATCATGTTCTGCTCATTGTTGCTTGTTATGAAATTCTGATCTCTTGATTTTGAAAGAATAATCTCCCGGTAAAATTCATGGATACGGCTCGTCTTGATGCTTCCATCATCATTGGTTGTTGCCGGAGTAAGCAAGCTTCTGTTGACGAGCTCATTGAGGTACCCTTGTGCAACTTCTTCCACTGATCTTCCCACTTTTTGTTTCACAAAACCTTCTCCTATCCACTGTCGAACTAGTGTATTGTGTTCAATCTCATGATCCTCCGGATAATTGCCCAAGTATAAAAAACATGGTTTGAGGTAATACGGCAGATAATTGTAACTGAGTGACAGAATGATTTTCACACTCTCAAGTTTATCATTAACTTCTAGTTCGGAGCCAAGGCTGCAATTGAGCATCTTCCATTCATCAACATTAATCTCCTTTTTTGTAGACAGCACCCCACTAATAGCAACGATGGCTAACGGCAATCCTCCACATCTTTTCAAGATGTTTTTGCAAATTTCAATCAAGTGAGTAGGGCACGGGTTCCCCCTGAATGTCTTCTAGCAAAATAGAGTCCAGGACTCTCCTTCAGACAAAGGATTCAACTCACACACATAGCCATCAGTTTGTTTGCTACAAGAAAGAGCCACATCCATGACCCGTGTTGTTAGGATGACACGACTCCCATTATTCTCATTAGGTAAGGCGTGTCTGATAGCTTCCCATGCTGAAAAACTCCAAACATCATCAAACACTAGCACATACCTGTTAATATATAAGACAATAAAACAGTACATCTAAGAACACTAGATTACACTCAATGGATTGCTGAAGTTAGGCAAGAGAATAAGAAGTTTGGAGCAAAAAGAAACTGAAATCACTAAGGCCTAAAAGTTTAAGCAGTAATGCACCAACTACAAACTATGATTCTATATACTTCAGAGAATACTAATCACATTTAAAATTTCCAACTACAAAATTATTAACAAAACCTGTAAAATGATTTCTAGTATCGAAAACACCTCGACTAGTGATAAGCATGCTTTTACATACTTATTTTACTATCAAAACATGAGTAATTATTGATTAAAATGTTCGAATATAGCTTAATTCTATGCAATTTATGTTTTGTAGGACAAAGTGATGAATGTAGCGAAATTGAGGTGAACCAAGCGAAAAAGGACCAAACTGGAAGAAAGTGAAAGTTCAGGGACTAAGGTGCAAATACTACAAACTTGTTTCCAACCTTGTGATGAAGATTCAAGAGTTTTAGAGATCAATTGGATGAAGAAATGAGTCAAATGGGTGAAAGATAGCCAAAACATCATCAAATATCAACTTTCAAGCTGAAAAGTTTCACACCGGTTTTCAGCCTCGTATTGGGACGGATTTTTGACATAGAAAACGATCGAATTTGAAGATGGTCTCTGAACCAAAGTTGTAGGTCTTTGAGTTAGCTTTTCAACGCATCTTGAATCACCTCAATCGGAGATCGGAAGAGAAAGTTATGACAAAAATACTGAAGAAGGCGCAGAATTCAGAACAGCGACACAGCGCCCAAGCGCCACAACCTAGCGCTCAGGCGCCATTTTACCCAAAATTTGACAGAATTCAAGCGCTCAAGCGCCGCTCCCATGGCGCTTAGGCGCCGCGCCGCGCAAAGTAGGGTTTGTTTAATGTTTGGGCCGTGAGAAGCCTAAAAAAGGACCCCAAAAACATTCCATTCATCATCATTCTTCATTCTACACCATTTCTTTCATTGATTTTGGCTCAAGAAACCTATGAAGAACTAAACTAAAGGTGAAGCAAGGGAGGAACTCAATTGGATTCGGGGATTTCAACATCATTTATTCATGCTCTTTGGTATTTATTTTGCTAAACATTTCTAGATCTAGATTTTCATATTTATGAATTAATTTTGAAATTGATTTAACATGTATTAAGTTTTTCATAGAATCAATCTTGTTTTTTCTATCGAATAATTGAACTATGTGTTGAATCTTTATTTCATTAAATCTATTGGTGTGATTATTTACTTTCTTATGCTACATGTATATGAACGATTTATAATCTGATTTCAATAGATGATTGTGATAATTGTTAAGGAGATCTAGAATTTAGGATGTGTTTTTCATTGTTTAAATAATTCTAGGGTTTATGTTTTCCCGTATTTTGAATTAGATTTGAGTTAGATTTAACATTTATTCAGATTTTCATGGATTTAATCATGTTTCTTCCATTGAATAATTAAAATACTTGTTCAAGTTTGATTTTCAAATCATTTATTGGTGTGATTTAATTACTGCTATATGTTAGAGATATATAGTCGCTCTTTAAGTCTGATTTCAATAAATTGATGTATGATTATGTTTTGGGAAACATAAATTCTAGGATTACATGTGCAATTAAATTGGTTTGTATCGTTTAAATCATCCGATTAGAAAGTTAGGACAAAAACTTCTAATTGAGTAGAGAATGCATGAATTGTTGATGTTGATTGATCCAATCTAATTGAGGGAACCCCGAAACTTCACTATTTTACATATTATATTAAATTTCATCATTATTTCCAGTGACATTTACATTTGAATGCAATAAACAAATTCCCTTCATCAAATTCACGAGAACCCAAAGTTATTGAACCCCTTGAATCACATTTTCCATCTCCCTGTGGATACGACACCCCAAGACTATACTACGACACCGCGTAACACTTTGGGAGTAATCATCTAGTTCGAAACAATTAAGCAGAGAGTTAGCACACAGTTCAACAGTACCTTCTTCGGCGCAAGAAATCTTTCATTATTGCTTTTAGCCTATTACCATTCATGGTGCTCAAATTTTCAGGAGTTCGCTTCATCTGTTCAAACAGTTGCTGAATTGTGTCTTTCAGTAGCTCCTCCACCTCGAATGACTGAGAAACCGTAATCCATGCGTGGTTCTGGAATTGTTTCTTCAAAACAAAATCATCATACACCTTCTTAACCAGAGTGGTTTTCCCCAAACCTCCCATTCCCACCACTGAAACCACCTTAAGCCGTGATTCTTTCAATCCCGACAAGCTCGGTTTCTTCTAATAAAAGTGCATCCCCTCGAGGATCAATCCCACTATTAGTCCCGCATCGTGACGATAAACCTTCCCCGGGAACATTAAACCTGTAACTATACCTCCTATGTCCCTCAGCAATATCTATAATTCTGGATTTTATATTTTGAATTCCAAAGGAAATTTTATATTGGATTCTCAGATTTCGTATAGAGAAAATTAATTTCCTCAGAAAACTTTCACTTTTGAGGCGGAATTGCAGCATGTAATCATCTATAATGTCTTCAGTGTCATATGCAACATCTCGGACTTGCTTAACCCACACTTTGAGCTCTGGATCGTCGTCTTCAGCAGCATCAGCAACTCTGATGAAAGCAATCATTCTCTCAAGTTCATCTCTTATGTATTCAACTTCCCGCCTGACATCTCCAACAAGATTGTGAGTTTCTCAAGAACAAATGTCACTGCAGACTCTGCCATCTTCACAAAAGTGACTGATTTGGTCCCGAATTCTATGAGAGAGAATATCAAATGCTAAATCAAACCGCTTTTGAATAATTGTTTTTATTTTTCTGCATGAGGCATCAAATGCCCACATCAAGTGGACTTAAACCCAATAGGATCGTCGTCTTCAGCAGCATCAGCAACTCTGATGAAAGCAATCATTCTCTCAAGTTCATCTCTTATGTATTCAACTTCCCGCCTGACATTTTTGACTAGATTCACCTTATCCTCCAACAAGATTGTGAGTTTCTCAAGAACAAATGTCACTGCAGACTCTGCCATCTTCACAAAAGTGACTGATTTGGTCCCGAATTCTATGAGAGAGAATATCAAATGCTAAATCAAACTGCTTTTGAATAATTGTTATTATTTTTCTGCATGAGGCATCAAAGAACATAAAACCTATCGGATTCTGGTGTTTTTAAATGAGCTGAGATAAGGAATCAATTTGGTATTCTATAAAAAATGACAAAAGATAGGCCACGTACTGGGAGCTACAACCCACTTCATGCAAATACCTTTAAATGAGGTTCGTTTTATAATGAAATAATCAAATAAATTCGAATAGTCTAAGAGACGGCAACATATTGTTAGGTATTTTGATACCAAATAAATGTCCGGAAGATGTTGATCAGGTCAGTTATTACTGATAAGTGTATTTTGTACACTTTTCTCGATTATAACTTAATTATGTATACATTTTGTTTGTTAGGTAGAACTCAATGCAAATTGGTTGAATTGGACAAAAGGATCGAAAAACAGGCGAAAAGGAGAAATTCAAAGTACGAGGACCGAAATGCACGTAACAAAAAAGATGATTGAATATCACACACAATCAATTAAATGCAATTAGAAGTCAAATTATTGAAATATAGTCAAAGTATTCTCAAAAATTAATTTCTAACCGAAAAAGTTATTCTCTAGATTTTCAGTCTCATATTGAGATTCATTTTTAGCATAATAAATGTTCGAATTAAAAAAATTAATATCTCAAGAAGAATTATAGCCATTTAAGATAGCTTTCTAAATCACTTTAAATCACCTCAATCGACAATTGTTCCGAAGCAACCTAGGCATGCGCCAACCACTATTTCAATCAACCAGTGAGCTAAACCCTAAGTCGGTACGACTGTGACTGTGACAATGACACGAGCACATGATTCAACCAGCGATCTATTTGCAGTTTTCAAATTTAATTCAAAGTCTTCCAAGAATCCAATTTTGAGGTAATTTTTGACCTATTTTCGAGACATAAATGCAAAATAATATCATACATCAAGGAGATCTCTCTCTAGCCTCCAAATACATGTACATACCATCAAGAACAAGAAGCCAATTGTTACAATTTGATAGAGAAAATCAAATCCTAGCAAGAATTGAAGGTCAATTACATAATTTTTTTTTTGAAGTATTCAACTTTGAAACTGAAGATCGAGATTTCATGCATTCATTCATGATCCGGTGATATTTATTCATATTTTCGTAATGTATACGAAATCATGCTTTCTAGACTAGATCCGTAATTGTGTTGGATGGAGATAAGCTCTATTGTTTATTATTATAATTCAAAACTAGTAGTCTAGTATTTCTTACGTTTCTGGATTAATATTGCGTTATTTAATTATTTGGTTATCAATTAAATAATTAGTTGCTTGTTGTAGTTTTGTAAACTCAAGAAGTTTAGAACGTAGAAAGATTAATGAACAGGCAATTATCAATTAAATAATTAGTTGCTTGTTGTAGTTTTGTGAACTCAAGAAGTTTAGAACGTAGAAAGATTAATGCACAGGCAATAGAGATTAGGAATAACAACATTGTGTGTGCAATCATATACATAATCTGAAATTTAATGCGTTCTAATTGTTGGAATTTGTATTAAGAATAGACTCAGATGGTGATTGGAATAGACTTAATTTATCTTTAAAAAAATTTAAATACCATAATTTTATCGATTGTTAATAACTCATGAATAAGACTAAATTACAAAGTTAAATCACAATAGGCGGATTCGAAATGGTTTAAATAATCCTACTAAGGAATCCACACCTGATGATAAACCCGAACCTCCTATAGAACACTCGTCTCGTGTTAAGACGAATCATCCTAAAGTGAATATTATAAGGGATTTGAATGAAAGGATGAGACTCCGTAAGAGGGTATTGAAATCTAATATATGCTAGCTGTGTGTCTCAGATTGAACCTAAGAAAATAGAAGATGCTCTTAGAGATGAATGTTGGGTTAACGCTATGCATGAAGAGTTAAATCAATTTGTGAGAAACAAGATTTGAGATTTAGTTATTAGGCCTGATTATTGTAATGTTATAGGTACTAAGTGGATATTTAAAAATAAAATCAATGATCAAGGTACTATAACTAGAAATAAAGCTAGGTTAGTAGCCCAAGAATACACTCAGGTTGAAAGAGTATTTTGATAAAACATTTGCTCCGATAGCAAGACTTGAATCCATTAGAATTCTCCTAACTGTTGCCTGCACTTTAGGATTCAAATTATATCAAATGGATGTTAAGAGTGCTTTCTTGAATATAATTCTTTAAGAAGAAGCCTACGCTGAACAACCAAAATGTTATGTTGATCCTAAGAATCCACACTATGTTTATAAGTTAAATAAAACCGTATATGATCTTAAACAAGCTCTTAGAGTTTAGTATGATAGACTTATTGCATATCCCATGGAATATGATTTTTCAAGAGGTGGTGCAGATAGAAACTTATTCATCAGACATATTGAAAAAACCATCACGATAGCTCAAATCTACGTCGAGGTGGTGTCAATATTTTTGACTTGCTCTTACAAATTCAAGATCGAAAAAACTGAGAAAAAAAAGAATTAGTCATTCACAATTACAAATAAAAAATTCCTCGAAAAGTTATGAATTAGTAATTTTTTTAAACAATTCCGCTTATTTTTATGAAATTGGCTATGTGATATATATAGTAACTTGAATTTAAAGTACATGGAGAAATGGTATTATAATGAGAATTTTTTCGGTTAATTATCTCTTTATTATTAATGTTTTCAAGGTGGAGTGTGTTATTGATACTGAATCATCTAATTTCAAAAGTTAAAATTATTAGATTTTACATTTATTTATTTAAATTATTTTTTTCAACACACTCCTTCAAGTTCAAGTCTAATTTATTTTTCGTCACAATTTTTTATTATGGGTGGCACCAAAATTTGATCATAAGATCTTTGTTTACTTTATTATTATATTGAACTATCTTATCTAAATATTTAATTGCTAAAAAGGAAATATATTTATTTATTTATATTTAATGATTAACCATAGTTATTTTAGTAACGAATTAATAAATTTTGATGGAACGATATGTAAATTAAGTGACTCAATCTTGTAAACATAAAGTCCAAACATCCCATATAATAATTTTCAACTTTTAGTGTATTAAGCCTAATTTTCATAATTTTTTTGCAAATTTAATTGTATCATCCTAATTTAAAATATCTGCGTCCGCCACTAAAAATCAAACACTGAAATTGAAATTCGGATGAAAAACGTAAGTTTCTTGAAATTTTTTTAATCACACACACTCTACGTGTCTGTCTCTTTAATTTATTATTAATTCATCAAAAAAATCACGAGGACATTTGCGTCTATTCATCCATAGGGCTTTCTTCGTCTCGACCTCTCTCTCCAGCCCAGCCCAAATCCAACCTGTAGCTATTAGGGTTTCGTCCTCTCTTCTCTTCTCGGTTGCCCCAAACTCGAAAAAAGAAAGCGGTAGCAACAATGGTGGATAAAGGTAGCAAGGCCAGGAAAGAGGAGATTGTCTCAAGGGAGTACACAATTAATCTCCACAAACGTCTCCATGGATGGTAATGGTACTTTTTCTCTCACTTAGAATACACATTCAAATATGTTATGTTTCTAGAACTGTTTATTCTTACTTTTTTGAACTGTTGGTATGAAGTTTGATGAATTGAACTTCTTTCCTGCAATTTCGTTGTTGGATAAAATCCATTTTTGTATTTAATGTTAAAATTTTTTGCTGAATGACCCGCTGGCTTTTGTGGAATTTACAGCTCCTTTTTTTTTACCTTTGAGCCTTTATGTTTGAAATTTGTAAGAATTGAATTGTTTTTATTGTACTTACAAGCAAGATAATTAAGGATGTAAACCAAGTGAATGAGCTTCTGTTGTTTATGAATCTCGAATTTCAAATGGAAATATAAATATGAGTGTATATCTATATATGAACAGTGTAAAATCCAAGGAATCTTATTGATATAAGCTGTCACCCAGTTGTCCAAAACAGGTTAATATGCAATAATAGTGTTATGGCTATCTTACAGTGCTCCAAACACCAACATGGATACGTGTCCTACTCGACTCGAACACGTCAACACGCAATTTTTCAAAGAGTCATTCAAATCTTTAAAATTATTTATTTAAATAGTATAAAATTAGTTTTCTAGTTGTTATTAATTTTTTTATTAAAAATTTTTAAATATGGGTATTTATTTATTATTTAATATTAATTTTAAAGTTAAAAATATATAATATTACTGATACATGAAGAAAATAACCATTGTAGAATGTCAGTATCTGATACGAGTCCAACATGTATACAACATGGATACGCTATCCTAGTTGAAGTGTCCATGCAACAATTTTCTGGTTGAAGCAAAAAGAGATGCATCTGTGGTGGTTTAAAGTTTTGTGATTGAAACTCCAAAATGCCTGGTTTCTTTAGATGTTAAATCAAGGAAAATATGTCTTTCTGAAGTTGGATAAATATAATGTTTTCTTATAACCACAAATTGCTAAAACTGAAACCTTTACCAGTAAAGTAAGCAGAAGAGATTTCCATTTTCTTCTAATAACAATGGCATCTTTCTACTATTGTTAAAAGTGAAAGCGGTTTCTTGATAATCTCAAAAGGGTTTGAAGTTGCTGCACCTCGTTTCATGCGTCTACTGGTCCTTTCTTGGATGGTTCTGTTATATCTCCAACATCTGATTATATTTGTTTCAGGGAAAAAAATGTTCATATTTTGTTTGTTGTGTAATGTGCAGCACCTTCAAGAAGAAGACTCCAAAAGCCATCAAGGAAATCAGGAAGTTTGCTCAGAAGGCCATGGGAACCACTGATGTTAGAGTTGATGTCAAGTTGAACAAGCAGATATGGAGCCGTGGAATTCGTAGCGTGCCAAGGAGAATTCGGGTCCGCATTGCTCGCAAGAGGAATGATGATGAAGATGCTAAAGAGGAGCTTTATTCTTTGGTAACCGTTGCAGAAATCCCAGAGGGTGGGTTGAAGGGATTGGGCACCCAAGTTATTGAGGATGAAGAATAAATTAACTTTTCTGTTTTTTAAAGATTCCAATTTCGTTATACCTCTGATTTTATGTTTGGAGAAGTCCATTTCAATGGATTATGTCATGTTATTTATTAATGCAATTAGGAGGCTTGTTTAAGACTCAAGGGTTCGTTTGATTACAAAGGCGGAAAATTGGTGGAAAGAAAATGAATTTTAGGGAATTGAATTGACTAGAAATTGTGTTACCGAGAATTGTAATTAATTGTGTTTGATTGGTATAATTTTTCACCTGGAAAATGTTGAAAGTTTAGTGTTCGTTTGACTTTGTTTTTTATGAAAATTGTCCATCAAAATGATAATTTCTTTTACCATTGGGTCTAGAATTTGTTAAACTTGCCAAAAAAAAATAAAAAATTACCATACCGAATGTCATTCGTTTGACTTTATTTTATATGGAAATTGTCAATAAAAGTGATAAATTTTTTTACTATTTTGTCTAAAAATTTTCCCTATTAAAAAAAAAAAGGAAAACGAAAACCCACCTAAAAGGTGTGAAATTTCAACAAAAATGTGGAAAATGTGCACGTGTGAGAGAGTGAAATTTATTTTTTTTTCAATTTTTCATATCGAACACTACAAAAGTTGAAAATGTTGTCCATCAAACAGGGCCTAATTTTCTTGTGAGGGTGGCAAAATGGGTCGAGCTGCTCTCCGACTCGTTCTGTCGCAGCCTAAGACCCGCTTAGGCTCTTATTGAGATGAGCCATTGGTCTGAGTTGAGCTCCTTTTTTTCATAAGCCAGCTTAGTTTGAGAGCTTTGTTTGTGGGCATGAGCCAAGCTCGAGTGTACGCCATGTTGTACCATGAATTTATGAATTTTTTATTCATGGTGGGCCTTGTTTAAGACTCAAGGGTTCGTTTGATTACAAAGGCGGAAAATTGGTGGAAAGAAAATGAATTCTAGGGAATTGAATTGGCTAGAAATTGTGTTACTAAGAATTGTAATTAATTGTGTTTGATTGATATAATTTTTCACCTGGAAAATGTTAAAAGTTTAGTGTTCGTTTGACTTTGTTTTTTATGAAAATTGTCCATCAAAATGATAATTTCTTTTACCATTGGGTCTAGAATTTGTTAAACTTGCCAAAAAAAAATTACCATACCGAATGTCATTCGTTTGACTTTGTTTTATATGGAAATTGTCAATAAAAGTGATAAATTTTTTTACTATTTTTTCTAAAATTTTTCCCTATTAAAAAAAAAAGGGAAAACGAAAACCCACCTAAGAGGTGTGAAATTTCAACAAAAATGTGGAAAATGTGCACGTGTGAGAGAGTGAAATTTTTTTTTTTTTCAATTTTTCCTATCGAACACTACAAAAGTTGAAAATGTTGTCCATCAAATAGGGCCTAATTTTCTTCTGAGGGTGGCAAAATGGGTCGAGCTGCTCTCCGACTCGTTCTGTCGCAGCCTAAGACCCGCTTAGGCTCTTATTGAGATGAGCCATTGGTCTGAGTTTAGCTCCTTTTTTTCATAAGCCAGCTTAGTTTGAGAGCTTTGTTTGTGGGCATGAGCCAAGCTCGAGTGTACGCCATGTTGTACCATGAATTTTTTATTCATGGTGGGCCCCCTCACATGTGATGTGAGGGCATCATTTCCCTTAGATTAATATTCCTAAAATTTCTCTTCGATCAAATTATCATTTTATGCATATGTTGTTGTTACTAATGGATTTTACACGCCTAACAAGAAGCAAAGAAAAACCACATTGAAAGTGAATTTAATTAATTCAAGAATTTTATGTTCGTACTTGACTAATCCCTAAAACAAGATTGCCAAACAGAGTTGGAGATAGTATCTTAAAATGTAATAGCATTCACATAGAGTATAAATGATCACCCGTCTATGAGGTTGTAGTGGATTCATTGTCATAATGTTAAGAAAAACTTTTAATGCATTTTTAGGCAAGTGGACAATGTGGTAGTAACCTTACTACTACATAACTTGACGATAATCTAAACTCTAGATAAATAACATTATTCTATTGAAATCATGTGCTATATATTCATGTTTGGTTTAGATAAAAATCAGATATTTAGTAAATATTAATAAAAATTTGTGAAATATGAGTTTAAAAAGTTGTGAATCCTACAAAATTTTTGATTTAAAAGGAATTTGAAAAAAAAAAAAAAGTTACAAAAAATAGGAGACAAACATAGACATAATGTGTAGAGATTAAAATATAATGCTTTACAACTGGTTCATATATGACCTATCACCCTTCTTGGCTAATTGTTTTGGCTAGCAAAATACTCATCCCATGGCTGAATCTATTGTTTACAGAAAATTTAAATAAGAGAACACGGTTCGACACGGGGTTCACAGTTGAAACAAAACGAAAACAGTAAAGACTAAACTCGGAAGTGGAAGTCTTTTCTTTTCTTTATTTTTTATTTTTTCTCTCTCTCTCTCTCGAAGATAAAGAACTATTTAAGAAACAAAAACTTAATAAAATCAAGAAACTTCTCAACTAATCATTTCTAACTTATCCTTTCTAAATTTCGTGTTTGAGTCCGTTCTTTAAAACTCATTTTTTTTCAATTCATTTTTAAATTACACATTCTTTCAATAAAATTATTTTACACATAAATTCAAAACTTATTATTTTTTAACAACACATTCTAAAAAATAACCACTTATTAAAAAGTCCAACGACGTTTCACTGTCCATACTAGGTTCCAATACATTTTGGAGATTCATATCAAGATTTTAAAATGCGTAATGAGTGATAATGCATTTCAATCGAGTATCAAACATTTAAAAGAATACGTGAGCCTATTCGAATCATATGCATAATTATGTGTTTTTCAATTTTTAATATTATTTTTAACATTCTAAGATAATAAATAAATAAAATAACGCATTCTTTAAACTTTATATATATTCTTTAAATTTAAAAAAATATTTCTTAAAATCTAAATACTATAATTACTTGAACTTTATACATATACTCTTCAAATTTATAACAAAAATATAATGTTCAGAGTTATAAATACAACAATTACTTGATAGTCAATTCCTACAAATAGATAAGATGTGGAAATTGGCTTTAAGAAATCTAAACATTGTCTAACTTTTTATCGGACTCCAATTCAAACTCATCTACATTTAAGTCATCGTCTGTATCTATAAAATCATCTTCATTAGGATCCCTTATTTCAACTTGAGAATTTCTATTAGATGGTAGTATATAATTATTAACATCCTCCACATCACAACCATAAACAATTCAAGATTGTTCATTACTAGCATCACTTGTTAGTAAAATCAAAGAAATATCAGAGAAGGAGGAGGCTCGAGCACGATAGATAGTTTGTAACTCTACAAAAAAATTTGTTTTGATTTTTGATTTGTACCAAGCTAGTCTTATCCAGTCCCCAAATTCATTTCATTTTTAGGGTAAAAAAAAAAAAAATTAACATAATTTTTTTTTACATATTATACCGATTTGTAGTCCCATTCTTAATGTCCCATATGCGAGGCGTTTTCAAAACGCATCAAGCATATGCAGACCAGGGCTTTAGAGAATAAGCCACTAGTTTCGTAGCCAAATACAAGCCAATCGCCTCCCCTGTAGGAACACTCCTGAGCGAAAAGAACCACAGTTAAAAGCAAATTCATATTATTTGCAAGTGAGACTGTTAGGTAGAAATATTTATGAACGAGTTTCAGAACACATCCTTAATTATTTAGAATTTAGAGAAAGGAAAAAAAGAGTGTAGAATCTGAAAGTGCTTGCCAAAAATCATTTCACTATTAATGAAAAAAGGATAAATATATCATGCTAGCCAAGAACATGTACTCATGAACCATTTTATGAAAAATGTGATCCAGGTAACTAAGGTTTACACATTGAGGCAAGATTACAAATGAAGCATATAT